CTTTCCCTGGGAAAGCGTGTGCTGATGTTACCGTCCTCTTCCCCGACTCCGGCCTTTCTGTGGGTGTGGAGGGACCTTCTGTGCTGCAGTTACTGCCTTGATACTGCTGCGTGTTTGCTTGCTGGTTTTAAAGGTGGCTGCTGCTTTATTTTTACACGCTTGGGCAAAGATCTCTCCTAAGGCATCCTTGTTCTCACCGTTCACGTACTTCTGCCAGCTGATTTCATCTTTTTAGTGAGCTGCACATTTCTGTTGTTTCAAAAACTGAATGGTTGCTTGAAATATGTTTAAAAAAACCCCAACAACAACCAAGCCGTGGAATGCTGTTTGTTCTTAGGCTGCCCTACGACGCACAGATGTCATTCTGGAAGTAGGCCCGGGAACTGGTAACCTGACAGTAAAGATGTTAGAGAAAGTAAAAAAAGTAAGTGCAGATTTTCTGTCACCTTCCCAGGCTCTGGCCACATTGTGGCTGGCTGACAAACAGAGGGATTTTGATCTGCTTGGTTCAAATTGGAATGATTAAGAATATTTATTTTTCTTAATGTTTGCATACTCCCAGTGAATTTTTAGCCGTTCATGTGAATGTGGTGTGGTTTTATCAAACCATGTTGTTGCTGACCCGTTCATGTGGTACAGCTTGCATGTTTCTGGGGAGGGAGGAAGCTGCACAGCCTAGCAGGGGATTTTTAAGAATTATTTGAACGTGTAACAATAGATACAGGTTATTTTTGCAGTTGACATTTTTACCTCAGTTAGGAGGAGTTGTAAACATACACTTTGTTTCCAGGTTATTGCATGTGAAATTGACCCTAGACTTGTTGGCGAACTTCAGAAGAGAGTCCAGGGCACGTGAGTATCAACTGTGGAACCAGCGGGCGCTTAAGGCAGTGGAACTGCTGCGGCAAGAGGTTTGACAACATGCTTCTCTGAGGGTAACCACAGTGTATTTTCCCCCAGGTGTCTGGCAAACAAGCTCGAAATCAAGGTTGGAGATATTTTGAAAACAGACTTACCATTTTTTGATGCATGTGTGGCTAACTTGCCTTACCAGGTATGGTCTGAACAACATGGCAAAACGTTTTTAATTTTAAACGATTATTTCCCAGATGATTGTCCTAACGGTTTTACTCTTTTCCTCAGATTTCTTCACCTTTTGTTTTCAAATTGTTGCTTCACAGACCTTTTTTCAGGTACGTGTGAGAACTCTATTACCTGATGGAAAAAAATGTAGTTTTAAAAATACTCCCAGATCAATTTTTTTTTTTTGTGTAGTTCTTAAACACTAGTTTGATGGATCAGAGCTGCACCGAAATTATTCTGTACTATGAAACCTGCCAGAGCCTGAAAATCAGTTTATGTTAATGTATTAAGTACAAGGAGAAAATCTAGTCTTGGCATCAATGAGCGTGCAGCTGATGAACACAGGAGTTGTGCCTCTTTACACCAGCATTACAATTAACTTTTACTCCAGTGATAAGTGGGGTATCAAAGCATTTCAGATGCCTTCCTACCCGGGAGAGGAATGGGTAGGATTAAAGCCAAGACACTTCCCATTGTCTGGTGTAAAAAATGTAACTGCCCAGGTGCTTCTGTGTGTTGTTGAATACGTCAGCAGTTCTTGATTTCTCTCAATGAAGCACTCGTGTTCATGACTGGTCAGTTTTTGGAGTTGGAAGGTTTGAAGGACTCCTCATTGAATTACTCGTAATGATTTGTTATAGTCGGGTACAAAATTCTGAGAACAGCCCATCTCTTTGATCCTGATCCATTTAACAGTATAAAGAATCAAGTTCTATTGTTGCTTTAAGGAGTTCTAGATGGTTTCATGAAGTTTTGTGGGGTTGTTCTTTTTTTAACATGCTCAGCTAATTAAGCTAATAACTGAGTTTATAATTTGCTTACGACAAACTTGTATTGCTTTGAGGCAAGCCCGAGTGTGTTAGTTGGCTTTTGACATAAATGCGGATTACTCCTCTTCTCATTTCTGTTGTTCTCAGGTGTGCAATACTTATGTTTCAGAGGGAATTTGCACTTCGTTTGGTTGCAAAACCAGGTACTAAATTGTACTGCAGACTCTCTATTAATACCCAGTTATTAGCTCGAGTGGACCATCTGATGAAGGTACGTCGCTGCGTTAACAGATGGAGCCATCACAAGTTTCTAGGAACGTGAGGATTTGCTGCGTATTCATACAGCTGCCTGACTTTTGACTAACAGGTTGGAAAGAACAACTTCAGGCCTCCCCCCAAAGTTGAATCCAGTGTTGTCAGAATAGAGCCAAAGAACCCACCACCACCCATCAACTTCCAGGTGAGCATCGTATATTCGCTTAGCGGCGTAACGTACTCGTGAGAGTACTTTAATTCCAGTTTTATTTATTACTCGGTTTCATGTGCCAAGCACCAGCATTCTGTCGGCACTTACATAATTCCAAAATAAATACTCCTCTCTTGATCAGGCTTGTGTTAGGATGTTACCCCAATCCGCCACCATCAGTTCGGGTGCAGCTTTGTTTACAGTATTTCTGACAAGGCTGAGGTGCCGTCTCCCTGTCGGTTGGACTGCTGCTAGTAACGATGTCCCTCTCATCAGGGTTCGCATCTCCCAGGGACCCTCATGGTGGATAACTTGTTGGTTATGATCGAAGAAATATCTATGAGAAGTCCTGTGTTCAGATGAGTGTGTATCATCTCGGAAGACAGATGTGACAGTATTCTTAATTTTTAAACTCTTTTGATCTTCAAGACCATTTCAGCCTTGCCCAAGGTTAGCCAGGTTTTCTTAGAGCATCTGCCTTCTCAGCACGTCAACTCTGGCCAGTAGTGCTGAGGCACAAAAATCCATTCAAAGGTTTTTGTGGGTGAATTATTTTCTCCTCCATTTGTATTGCTTTGTCCAAGACAGGACTGGTTTTGTATTGTTTAGAAAGATATATTTTCCTGAAAGGTTGTTCTTTTGTGTTCAGTATCGTGGAGTTGTCAGCAGTGACTGTTCTTGTTCCTAACAGCTTTCCTTTCTGTAAATTCTGCTGTTTTTCGTTTCAGGAGTGGGATGGTCTGGTAAGGATAGCCTTTGTTAGGAAAAACAAGACGCTCTCTGCAGCGTTCAAGTAAGTAACTTATATTGGAGGAGATATTTTCAAAGTTTGAGAGCCCATCCCGTTAACCGTTTCTTTTGTGCAGGTGCATAGCAGTGCTACATGCATGCCAGTGCAGTCTGGGGAAAAACATCATTTATGCAGAGGTCACAAGCTTGTTCTTTCAGAAGAAAACTAGGCAGCTGTTCAAAAAGAACAGCTCTGTTTAGCCATTACAGTTTTTTGTAGTGAAGAATAACAACCAACCAAGTAAACCCTCCCAGAAAAAAAAAAAACTACTTAAAGCTCAGTTGTCATTCTAAACTTGTGTTTCTTTCAGGTCGAGTGCTGTAGAGCAGTTGCTGGATCATAATTACCGAATTCATTGCTCCTTAAATAATACAGTAAGTTCCTTTTTCATTCTGTGTACTGTGACCTAAATATGAGTGAAAAATTGACACTGAAAAGCTTAACATGCTGAAGTTTTAGTGACAAGAGTTTGAGGGAGGTAAAAGAGGTTAAAACTTACTTCTTAGGAGGTAAATCTACAAAAGGTCACTGATTACAGCGACAAAGATGAAAGCTGAGTATGTTATTAATATATTGGCTGTACATGTCTCATGTCTCTACTAATCTAGTAAGAATCTAATAAGAAAACCTTTTGTGTCTGCTTAGCAATACTGTTGTTATTTATAGCGAATGAGCTGAGGTATAAAAATTCAGATAAAAGAAGAATACAGTAACCCATGCAGGAAAACAAACATCTTATTTCTGTCACTTGAAACAAGGACTATTCTAAAAGCAGGAAAAGAATAGAAGGTTGAAATTAACCCTGTTTTGTGCTATGAATAGAAAATGAATTTGTATCCTGTTTTCCATGACAGGAAATACCTGAAAACTTCAAGATTGCAGAGAAAATACAGACAGTCCTAAAAGATACAGGTTATTCTGAAAAACGAGCCCGTTCAATGGACATAGATGATTTCATTAGGTATTTGTTTTCCCCTCTTTACGCGTGCCTTTTAAGCTTCTTCACATTCTGTCTGCATCTGTACCTGTGTAGCAGCAGGTGGGTATTGGGTTACACAGGAATTGTTCTGACTTCGTTTTCCTCTCGGTACCAGACGCTCCTTGCTTCCAGTCCTGAATGTGAACAAACACCTAAACCCTGTGTGTGTGTCCACTGCTGCTTATGGTCTTGAGAAGCAACCAGCTAAAGATCCCTGTTTCTGGTGTTTGTGTACTAGACCTTCCTCTGTCACCTCTGAAAATGGCTTTAGTAATGGAACTGGTTGTTATCATTTCCCTGGAGACTTACACAGCTCTTCTGCCTCTGGAGGATTCATCCGTATGCCATAGTGTAGTTTGGAAATCCGAGTAACTGCTGTATTCTGCTGTTGCTTGTGGTTGGTGAAGAGGCAACACGAATCCTCTCCTCATTTAAGATAAATATTCCTAGCTGTTCTCAGTGCGGCAGTACAGCTACTGCTCTGTGAAGAAACGTGGTAAACCCGGTAGGATGCAATATAACTAACGGCACTGAAAACGCACCTGCATCCCTACCGCGGCAAACTCCCTAATCGTTTCTACTCTCTGGACTTGCAGCCATTTCTTGTGGCAGCTGAACGGCGACGGATGCTCTCATGCTGGTTTTGTGTGTTCTTTGTCAGCCAGCACCTCTCAGAAATGCCCTAAGCTGGAGTGTCAGTCGGTAGGTACTGAACGTGAATATTTCACTCTTTCAGGCTGCTGCATGGCTTCAATTCGGAAGGCATCCATTTCTCATAGATCCTGCTCGAAGAATGGAGGACGTTCTGGAGTCTGTCACCCAAACCAGAGAGACCACAGTGGGACCAGCTCCTGTGACAAAAGCAGTGAGCAGAACGCAGTGTGCGCGCTCCGGTTCTGACGGAAACCTTACACGCAAGCTTTGTCACAGGTGGTAGGCAGGAAGCTGCTGCTGCCGCTCAGTTATTTTTAGACGGGGTAACTTCTTTCACGACTGAAGTGAGGTGCTGGATTCCCACGTGACTGTGTGTTTTCAGATCCACCCAGTAACCTGGATTGATGTTGCCATAACCGAAATCGGTGTTCTCTAATCATGGACTTGGCCGCCACGTGTTCTTGCACAGTACAATCCTTAAATCTGGTCTAAGCAACAAAACCCGGGTTGTAGTCATGCCATTTGTTGGGGATTTTTTTTGTTTGTTTGTTTTTTTCTTTGTTTTAAAGTGTATGTAAATGCAGCCTCTCACATCTGCCCTGCGGTAGTTACCTGCGTTCCGAGCCTGTTAGTAACTTGCTTCTTTTGGAGAAATCCCACTAACTTTCTCAGAAACAAGAACGTTCATCTTGTGGGCTTGGTATCATTTATAAAAACATTATTGAAGTGCTGGAAACCACCAGTGTCATCTCCTTTACCCCTTCCTTATTGCCATCAAGCCACCGTAGCGGCCCACAGAAAACTGCTGAGGGCCAGTGCTCGTAAGCACAGGCACAAGGGTGGCTTTTTGTCAACTGCAAGTTCAGGCGGCTGCTTTTATGAGAACACTTCACCCTTCAAGGCCAGGAGGAGTTTTAGCGCGGATCAAGGCTTTCAGTGAGTTTTGGAGCGGTGCATGCGTGTGTGTCCTGACGGGTGAGGTGTCTCAGCAGAGTTTGGATTACATACATCCCATGTTAAGGGCGAGGCAGATTTTCCCAAGGAGGTTTGCACTAACCCTGCAGAGCAGCTCTCAAAATAAAAATCCGCTTTTATCTGTCTTCGGATTCAGGAAAACACTTGACTCGGCAGGATCATGCGAGGGTGGAGGCATGGCTCTGTATTAGCCACGGTCAGTCACATCTGTGTACAGTGTGTGTCCTTCCATACCACCACAGCAAGTGGAGAAGAGGCTGATGGGCAAGAACTCCTCTGAGATGCCACTTCCCTTTATACGTGTCAGTTCTTTAGAAGTCATTGATTCGGAAGCATGTGCAGAAATACGTACTTTTTTTTTGTAGGCATCTGAGAGCTTGTCTTGGAAAATGCAATTCCTCGTTTATATTACAATTTAATTATTCTAGTGCTGTTCCACTGCGTATACAGCCAATTTGTGAGTGAGGCAAGTAGCCACAGCAGTGTGCTCAGACTAATACCGAAGGAGCGAGTGCTGAAAAAGTGTCACGCTTCCTCAATGCTTCCGTTTTACAGGAATGGAGAGAAGCTTGTCCGAGTCCTGTTCCCGTAATTCTGGCCCGTCACAGCAGTGGGCTGCAGGCCCAGCCGTATCACTCTTATCTTGGTTCTCACCCCGTCAGTACCAGCACAGACCTGACTTGCAGCAGGCTGTGTCACAAAGGCGCTGGCTAACGGTCCTCCTGCGGTGGGCGCAGTTTCAGCGTGTCTCCTGCCGGAAAAGCCCTGCAGTACAGTTGCTTACAAGGCTTAGCAAAAAGCTGCTTCTGTCCTCCTTGGTACCCACTGTAAACCACGGCCTGGTTGCTCTGGGCTTGCGTGGAAGAGCAGTAGGGAAGCCACTGTTTCTCACGTGGCCTATCTCAATCTTCAGAGGCTTTCTAGAAAGTAGGGCATCCCTAGAACAGCTCCGGACAACGGCGATAACCTGCACTGTATCCGGCAAGGAAAGCTGCTGCCTTCTGCCTGGTGGCGCGTTAACTGTGAGGGGTGAGCACCTTACGTGGGCGCTCAGAGAGAGACGCGTGGTGTTTCTTTTACACCCCACTGCAAAACCCGAAGTCGTGAAGAGGTTGCCCAGCACGCTGGCTTAGGAGATGGACTTTGTATAGCTCTGGAGTCCGCTCCAGAAGTAAATACTCACTCTGAAATCGGGCCTTTTCTAAAGTGTAACTCCAGCGTGCTTACAAAGTATGCTTCCCAGAGCACGACGGAACTTGCACAGAGGTAAATTCTCATCTGTAATTCATTTAACAGCTTAATTTATTAAGCACATTATGTAAAATCTACATTGTTTCAGTTTTCATGTTTACACACAGGAGGAATTTTTTTTTTTTTTTAAATGATGTGACAGGAGATCCCCATAACCTACCATCCTATGGCAGATACAGACATTCAACACTACAAGAATTCCTGGCTCGTTTAACTCTCTTTTCATTGTCTTCCCTTTACTTCCCTCCAGTCCTGGCACAAACAAACAGGCTTGTATTCTGAAAGTGATTTTTAAACAGTTCCAGGGGCAAGTCTGCTGATAGGAACTCCTGCAAACAGGGAGAACTCCTAGAGAGGTCTGCAAGTCTTCCTGTGACAAGAAGTTGAAATAGATGATCGTTAAGGTCCCTTCCAACCTAAACAGTTCTGTCACTCTGAATTGCTTAGGTGGAAGGTCAGTTGGGTTTTTCTGGATCCTGACTTGCAAAAATAGCTTGAGTGCCACCACCTAAAAAGTGCTGATAGGCACGGCGCCGACTGTGAGAACTCGGGTGCTTGTGGGATTTCTGTCAGCGCTATGTAGAGGTATTGTGCAAAATCCCCAAATGATGCAATTTCATCACTTTCAGCTGCTGGCACTGTACCAAGGGAAGAATAGGTATTGGCTACTTTTTTTTTTTAAAGCAACAGAGCTACTCAAACTACCTTCAAGCTACGGTTAATGTACATGTAAGTCCATCATGCATCAAAAGCCAAATTTTAGCAGTATGTGAAAGGCCAGTGTGCATGTGTTTCGCTGGATCCCTGAACTCTGACAGGTGCCTTAGCCATACGCGAGGGTCAGACCGTACCTTCATTCCGACAGCATTATCACACCATACAACACACTGTATATGCATTATCCTAAGATACAACTTTCCTCAGTACTTAGACATCACCCTTTATTATACCTCGACTAACGTATATTTTTGTTGTTTTGGCTTTTTTTTTTAATTATTACAGAGAAAAAAAATGTTAGAATTATATAACCATTCTTTATGATTCTCAAATCTATCTAAAGTCTGGATTTTTACAAGGAGGATGGAATGTCCAGCTGTTTGTCCACTCTTAACAGCTCTTGTAGTTCCTGTTCAAACGATATGGCACATCCAGTGAAATGAAACTAGCCACCGGAAAAAAATTCCTTAAAACACATTAAAAATGTACACACAATAGAAGTAATTTATATTGACAAATAAGGAATGTTGTTTGTTTATTAAGGCTGTGCTTCAGAAGGAGGATGCCTAGGGTTAAGTAGCCTTCACCAAGGCACAGAATGGGAAGAGGTAAGCACAGCAGTCTGTCGAAGAGAAGTTATGTACAACCACTAGTGAGATGTGCATGCACACAAACACAAAACTGCACAGCTGGTCTTCATAACAAAACTGAACAGTTAAAAGGAAATGCTGCGGCTTTTCAGCGGCCACAGTTTTTACTTCATTATTAAAGACATGGCAGATAGTTTAAACAAAGTGCTTCACAGATCTGAACCCTGCATGGTTGTGCTGTCTGGGCTAGAAGCATTCTGTAGACATCATAGGAGCATTTCACACACAACTAAAAATGTCATTCGGGTGAATAAGAAACAGGACATTTCCACAGACATTTCTCAACGTTTTTACACTTTCAAGTAGTTGAGTTCTTGCGGCCACTGGGTTTTGTCACAGATGTGTGCTACAGCAGTATGGGTTTGTAGATTCCTCTAGCAGCAACAGCCCATTTCAGAGGGCGCGTGGTCTTTTCGGGTTGATCTGCTTACTGGCCTGTTCCTCCTCTTGTAGAGCTGCCCGGAAGGATTTCACTTTATCTTTAATGAAAAAGAGAGAATGAGTACGGATGTGCCTGTGCTCAACGCAGACCTTAAGCTAAGCCCTGGTGCTCCACCTCCTGGCCCCCATGCACAACAGAAAACATTCCCCCACAGAAACAGCTGACGCTACAAACGACAAGAGGTTTGAGATAAGCTCGCACTCAGTACCCAGCAGAGAAACACGTTGCTTAGCAGCTTAGTCCCTGCTCAGATGACGCCCCGTTCCCTGGGCAGGGTCTCTTGCGGCTGCACCCTCCCGTAGGTTGAGAGACCCCACAGGGATATGTCCCGTGGACTCTGCCGTCATTCAAATGAAGTTTTTACAGGACTCCTGCCTCCCGTGTGAACACTGACTCCTGGTGGCATGATTTTCCCTACGGTTGTGTTCCCGGACTGCAGCGTGTTCACCCTTAAAAATCTCCTTCTCACTTAGAGAGTATAGGGAAGTGCAGACCACATACATCCTTTTCGTTCCCAGTACCTTCCAAACCATACTTGGAGGCATACAAATTTGTATCTAGTGTTCAAACAGTCACTGCTGTACACTGTAAAACCTCTGAGTTCTACACACACCCCCTGCCCTTGGCTTTCGATGAAAGTGAAAAGCATTTGTCATTAAATTTTGGGTAATTCACCATAAATAGATAAATGCACCATTCATTTGCTTCATTATAAGGAGGGAGAAACCCATCAAGGATGGGAGAAACCTGAGGAAGGAAATGTGGCATCCTTTCGTATTTCTATTCCTGTTGCACTCCATTCCCAAGTGAAATGTCCAAGAAAGGAAAGAAGCCAAAATGACAGCATAAAGATGTTAGTCCCAGAGTGGCAGGAATACAGGCTGAAATATTCAGTGGCCATGCTACGCCATCAGCAGAACAGAACATACTGGGGGACAGAATTTGGGGCTTAACAGTTCTTCCCTCCTGTAAAGCCATATGTGTGCCGTGCTGCCTGTGGAGATGCATCTCTTAGGTAGCCTTTACCTCCAGTACCTTGTTCCAAAAGCACAGGGAGTCACCTGAACTGTGGGTTTTTTCACTGCTGCCCTTTTAAATTGTCGTCTTCCGAAGAGGAAGCCACCACCCGTGAAACGCAAAGGAACGCACCCGCAGTTCTTTGTGGAAGCACACTGGTGCCAGTGCATGCTTACAAGGCCTTGTCTCACTCGCCTGATGCATTCTCCTACCTTACAGCAGATACTCAGACGGAATCAAAACTAAAGTTTTACACGAGTTTTCAGGCACAGATAAAAAAAACCCACCCCACCCCTTGAATTTTTACCAGTGGAGCGTGTCTCCTGGACAAACCAAAATGAAAAATTCATCTCCATGAGGTACCAAGCTGATTATAGAAGACAAGTGGAAGAGTCAGTTTTGGGAACTAAGAATTACCTGCAGTTTGTTTTTCCAACAAGGGAGGCTGACAGAATTCAGACAGAAAGGCTGAAGGAAAAGTAAGCTAACAACCAAGCTACTCGGACCTTGGTGCCACTGCTTAGCACAGCCTTAAAAACAACAGCAAGATCCCTGCTACGGAATGCAACAGCGGAGGAACTGGGAGTTACTACTACATTTCCTTCAATGCATTAGCTTATATTTTTGGTACACTTAGTTTGGATCTTCTTTTTCCTTCCTTTGTTGTTTTGGAAGAAGGCAAAAGAAAAGGAAACTTGCAGGATCGAGTTTTTTATACTTCCTGGAGGTAAAGCAGAGACTTTTCCTTTAAACTAGTATGAACTGAGCACAGACATGAACTTGCTTTAAGGCAGCAGAATAAATATTCCCTCCATGGGACACTGCAGGGCAGCATAAGGGGGAAAAAAGACCCTAAAGACATAACCACAACTTTTTTTTCCCCTCCCTTCTCATTATTACTGAAAGTCTCCATGGCATATGAAAACACACTGCTAATAATACACACAGAAGTGGTTAAAAAACAATCTACCTCTAAGTTCAGTCAGAATATCAATTTTTTGCTCTAGAATTGCTTCGAGTTGGGTAGCATAAGAATCCACATCGTAGTCTACTTCTTCTGTCATCTCAAGAAGAGCTTTTTCATCTTCCAGCCATCTAATAGATTCCTAGGTAAAAGTTAAAAAAATTTAAAAATTCCTAGATAAAATTAAAAAAAATTTAAAAAACCAAACCAAACCAAACAAAAATTATACAAAACACATTAGCAAAGCTTCAAGACAAGGAGCTGAATCAGACCTTTTCTCAACACGACGACGTTTTTGCTGTCTAGTCACTTTAGTGTAACAGATTTCAAACCTAAAATGAAACCTTATTCCCAATTCACGAAAATCTTATGTTTTCTACATCGTTCCTTAATTCCACTGGCCGTACCGGCAACAGGTATCCCAGTTCTCTTCAGATTCAGAACATCAGTTGGTTGTAAAGCTAAGAAACCAGCGAACAGAACTTTGTGTCAGGGGGAGAGGGGTGGAGACTTGCAGCAAAGAAGAATGCAACCACGGAGCTTAAAGCTCCCAGACCATGCAACGCTGTGACCAAGAGAACCTATCCCAGTGGAAATGCTTTGGTTTGAAAAAAGAAAGCAGCTGACCGTTCTAGGCATGCTGGGCCTGGAATGCTGAAATTAAGTCTTTCCCTCTGTGCTCAGTAGCCCAAGTAATACTGAAAGCACATGCGTGTTTTTTGGCTTTCAGGAGAGATGGAGCTCATATTAGGATAGGATTAATCTCATCTAATATGAACCTGTACATCCAAGACACAAAGGAAGACCAATAGCTGTAGAGCAGGATTCATTCCACTGATCTATTTTATACCTTTTTTTGTTAGGAAAGGACGTTTTGTATCAGCAGCTTCCAGGAGAAAGCCGACAGAAGACAACTTCTGCCTGGTGCGGCTGATAGATTTTGTATGGATGCAGCCCACCTCCACCCACGGCGTAAACTAACAAGCCATGCTGCGAACAAAGGGAGCTGAGGCTCGGGCTCATTTCCTTCCAGTGACTGCTGGGAGCAGCGCTAAGCTCCACGGAAGGCCAGATGGACACACAGGGGCAGTAACATCTTCCATCAATGCAGCTCGTCTCTCCGGAAGTCGCAAGCATTAGGACACAGCTATGGCATACGACTTCCACCCTTCTGTATGTTTTACTTCCGGGCTAATGTTTCATAACAACTAAATCCCTACATCTCTAGTAAAGTGTGTTACTTAGCATCCTACTGTATCATGAACAAACTTCAATGTCCCACTAAGTCAGACACCTAAATTGAAGCTATGTGTGTATTCCCTACAGGTTTAATGCTGTGTGTGCTGTGCTCTTGCAGTAGAAATGCCGAATTCTTGGATGAGGATAAAACAGAGTATAGCTCCATTTTTTTACCTGGAAGACAGCCCTGTGGTCTTCTACTACTTGCTCTTCCATTTCTACCATTTGTGACACAGCTTCATGGAAGGTGAACAATTGTGGGGAAACTTCCTCCTCCTAAAAGCAATAGTTAAGCTGGTTAGTCTGGAGGGAGTTGTGGCTACGGGAAATGTATCGAATGTGATCCATCCCGCTGCAGAACATGAAAAGAAATAGGCAGAAGGCAGAACCTGTCAAAACCAGAATTTAATACTCCTAACAAGAAAATCTCTAGAAACGAGCAGAGAGGACAGTAAATTCAAAATGCTCACAGAGTTAAATTTAATTCATATTAACTAAAAATTACCAGCCACTAATCCTAGTGAATACCAGAAAACAGAGTATTCCATGTTAAAAAACTTAAGGTAGTGGCAAGAGGAAGTCACAAGGGAAGAATGCTCATTTCTAGTGGGTTTTAATGCCTACAGAAAACTCTGTTTCACTGTCAGGGCATTCTGTTGCATGTATTGCGATAGACAGACAACAATATTTCGAGAAAGAGAACAGCAGTTACATCCAATACTTACCCGGAAACCAAAATGAAATTAATCCTTTGGAAAAAACGTGGAATAAACGTAAAGTGAGAAATCTCAAATGTAGGTAGTGATTAATACATTAGAAGAATGCACAATGTGGATTTACAAACTGGGGCAAAAGAGGGCTTCTTGAAAAATGGGTAGTTAACAGTC